GCAAAAACAGCTGCGTAAGATACTGTTTATGATCTCAATGAGTTTAGGAAACTGGAATCTCATTGGTCCTTTGGCCCCACATTCAGTTTTCAGTTAGGGGAAACTGGCTGGTATGGTACAAAGAACGACAACTAAGAGCTGGCTTCAAATCCTGCGTTTGCCACTCACCGCTAGCTGTATGACTTTGGGTAAATTGTTTAACCTTTGAACTTCGATTTTCACATCTCTAGATTATGGATAGTAATAGCTATCTCCTGCGTCATTATAAGGATTGAGTTAACACATGTAAGAGTGATCCAAACAGTGTGAGACCTCTTCTCAGTGGGTTAGCTTCTCTGCTTAAAATGGACACATTTAAATCTACCTTTTAAAGAGCTCTTCAAAGAGCTGACTCAATAAACTTTCCTAAAGTTTAATGACCAGAACATGTCTTCCTTAGCTCTCATATAAAACTCTTTAGGTTGGATTATAAATCTATTTTCTCTTGTTTAGTTCTCCAGCAAGGCACACCCTAGTTGACCTTTATATTTGAAAAGCTTGAGTAAACCATTATAACTCCTCTTTTCTAGCGGACTCCTCTTTCCTCCTCTTGGTTTCCTTACCTTTCCTAATAGATCTAGTTCAGAATTTTAATAGCTATTGGAACTCTTCTCCAAATCCTTGTAGAGATTTTCTCTTAACCTGTGAAGGAACAAAAGTGGAAGTACAATTATTTTGATCCATGTATTAGGTCAATATATTTGATAATTTCCTTTATATAATGTCCTCCTTAGGAAACATTTGCTATATAAGCCCCAAGATGGAAGAAAAAGGTAGTAAGAGAAATGTTAAAGCTACTGTTTATGAAAAGAACCTTTAGGAGATTATTTTCAAGAAAGGTTAAAAAGCCATTTAGGTGGAATGTGGATAAAAACATGTAACTTTTTAAGCTCATCCCATTAACAATCTTTGACTGATCCCTGACCTGTGCATGCCTCAGCATATATAAAATCTTTATTTCCTATCATCAACATATTTGATACTGACCGATCTAGAAACTGCACAGATTATTGGAATGTATCACTGGAGTGTGAACTCCTGCGGGCACTCTGTCTTATCCATTTTCAAATCATTAGCACTTACTGCCATAATAAACATGTTTAATTCAATCACTCAACTGAACTTTATAGCTTCTGGACTTTTTCATTTGCTAAGGAAAAAGGGAAGGTTAAATTTAGTGGGCTAAAGAGGGTGAGAAGAAGAAAGCACAAATGACAAGACTACCGTCCTATTACCCGGTGATGTAATGTCAGATAAACTGGAACATATTCAGGTGGAGCAATGGTCAAGGGTATCTTCATCCATAGGGTCAGTGGAAAAAAAACATAAACCAGTTTTGAGATGGCATCTTTTTTTGGGTACAGCACGTGGTTGAAACTGTATTCTTCACACTTCATATTCTGTCCCGGCCTTACAGATGGGTTCACACATGTTGTTAGTGGGTCTTTACATTTGTTTGTATGATCCCCCCTTTTCTGGGCTGACTGGGTCCCTAATACGTCACTGCCATTTTTCCCTGGGAATCAAGGTCCCCAAGGACTTTGTTAAATCCCATCCCTAGCCAAACTCCCTCCAACAATCCCGCATCTGCTTTGAGCGTGAGGGTCCGGCTGGAAGCCCGGGACGGCGGTCCCAGGGATGGGGTGGGGAAGGCACGGAGGAGTCGGGGAGGGAAGTGGTTGGGGGGAGTTGGTGTCTTAGCCTGGCGGGTGGGGCGGAAGGCGGGGAGGCCGAGCGTGCTGGACGGTCTGGGACTGTGCGGCCGGCGCGCGTGGACCCGGGCTGCCGCCGCCAGGGCTCCCGAGACTCCGGCCCCTCGTAAGGCCGGGGAAGCCGGCCAAGGAGGGTCAACCTGTCACCAGCGCAGTCGGCCTGCGAATAGCGGGGACGGAGGTGAGGAGGGAGTGCAGGGCGGTGACTTGGATGTAGTCCAGGGCCAACCCCTCCATCCGAGAAAGACGAGGAAGGAGGAACTACACTTCCCAGCAGGGAGTGCGACCTAACGTCCGCGGCGCCCCCTTCCCCTGCAGTTTTCGCCCCCCACCCTGCTCGCCCCCTGCGGCCGAGGGCTGCGCATGCGCACCGCAAGACGTCGCCATTTCGGGTCCGTTTGAAAGCCAGCGCGGGCGTCGCGCTCCGCTGGAACGGCGGAGCAAGCGGCGGGTCAGTGGATCCTGAGACGGGGCGGCGTGTAGGGCGGGGTGCTCTGTCGGGTCTCCCGTCAGGTAACAAGCCCTTACTTTAGGCGGAGAACTGTGGGAGTGTGCGTTTTTCTCCCTTTTTGTGCCCCGGTGGATGAGTTCGTCCTGAGAAACGGTGTCTTTTCGAGGGGCGCCCAGCTTTGACAGTCCGAGGGAAGGGCTGTAGGCAGAATGGCGGGGAGGAAAGGCGAAGTCGTTCCCGGAGGGAGCGCGCGTGTGGAGAGTCCCGGTGGGAAGAGGACAGCTTTAGGGGAGGGTCGCGGAGCGAGACGGGAGGACCCACGTGGGCCTCCCTGGGACTCGAGGCGTCCATTGAAGCGGGCGGGGTCTTGGGCTTTGGGGCCGTCGCCTCGGAAAAAACCCGTCCCCGGCGGAGCTCACGCCTGCTGCCTAGTATAACGGGTTTGGGGCGGAGGCGGCCAGCTGCAGCTCGGGTCTGCCTGCCGGGGCTGCCGGAATCCCGCAGGCAGCGTGTGTCCTAGACGAGGGCGGGGGTTTGACCCCAACGCCGGGCGCGGGAAGGATGCTCTGGTCCAGCGGCGCCGGCAGACTTCGCTTTTCAGGTTCATTAAGTCCTGTCTTTTTAGCTGTAGAATAAACAGACGTTCGGTTTCATAACATAAATAACAGAGCTGTTGTTCCTAAATTCTTTATTTCCTGTGAACTATTCTTAACACTGAACATTCTGTTCTTGAATCAGAGGTGGTGGAAATTCATTGACATTTGTTTTAACATTCTCTTCTTTGGAATGATGGATTTCCTTTTGGAAACGGAAGTGTTTACGGAAGAAATGGTAAGATATATGGGATTTGCTTCCAAATAATCCCGTGGGGAGAGGCGGGTGGATTAAAGTTTGGGTATGTTCATTGTTTTAAGCAGGATGTTGGGTGCATAGAGGTTTATCAAACTATTCTTTCTACTTTTGTATACCTTTGGGAACTTTCCACAATAAAAATTCACTTGTGGGTTTTCCATTTGCCTCCTGTAAATTGAAATAAATGTTACTATCCATTTACTGAGAACTATTAACTCAACAGTTTTCCCCTTTAGGGTTTTGTTTTGTTTTTAAGATTTTGTAAAACCATATCAGTAACCTGTACTGTGTTCGAGTAAGGGAGAAACCGTTTGGTCAAGCTTATTATCCAAGCAATATTTACTTGAGAAAATTTAAACTATTAAATGAGATGGGTAAAGAAAGGGCAGGGCCATTCTTTAGAGGTATGCTAATATCGCAAAGTAGCTGAATAACCGTTATCTTCTGTTCTGCTGCTTCGCCTGACTGCTGTCAGCTCTCCTGCAAAGGCAAGTGCATGCTCTAATGCTGAGAGGCAGGATGACGTTTTACTCTGACTTTTCTTCTTTAAGTGGAAAACTGGGAGTATAAAGTCAAATTTTACAGTTATTAAGGTTATGTAAAAGTTGTTACAAATTAAACATTCCCAAAATTATAGCCAAAATTTAAGCATATTAACTTTAATTCCAGCATGTGTTAAATCCGAGGTACTAATGTTTCATTTTTAGTACAGAAAATCCATTTTATGTTGATTTAATTTTTAAAGAATGTTATAGCATGTACTGAGGTAGTGCCTTCTCATTCTTTTATTTCTTAGATTTTCAAACATAGGACCTATTACTGCTCTGTTAAGGTAGACAGGATTTAATAATGGGAAATTAGTAAGGTGGATATATTAAGTCAATTTCGAAATTACATTAGTCACCTTAAAAAGAGAGGTGGGATGAATCTGTTTAACATAAGAATTGAAAAATAGTGGGGTTAGTACCAAAAAGGCAGGTCAGAAAATGATTATTAACAATTTTTGGAAAATAGTGTTTGCTACCTTTTTTTATGGTAAACTTATAGTTTATTTCATTATAGATAAATATTGTAAATTATTTGTGCTCTCATCTTTTTAGGGGGAAGGGGTTGGCTAAACTTACATACTGCTATCTACAACACTGAGCATGGATATTCTCCATTGTTCCTTGTTTCTAATACTTTATATTTGATGTCTTTTAAAGTTTTAACTAGCACCTGTTTGCAGTGTATGGTGGTAGGTGTACAAATTTAAAAATATTCCGTATAGGGGAATGTTAGGTATTGTGATGTCATAGAATATATAACCCTAAGAAAAGACTATACGTAAGTAGTTCTTAGGACTTAAATAAAAAGTGAGTACTCTTCCTTTGGTATTTTCTGTGAATATTCTCAGATAATTTTTGTATATATAATTCAAAGGCACATAGTAGGTGCTTAGTAAATGGTTTCTAATCCATGAAGGAATTCACAACAATTAAAATAATAGAAAATCTATAATGTGTATTTCATAAAAAGGATTTATAGATAATGAATTTTATTCTTTAAAGGAGATAATAAAAATTTATGTATTTAGTCATTTCTCTGCATGTGGCTATTATTCCTTTTAATTGGGACTTTAATCTTTTGTTTTTGTATTACAGTTGTTTTTAAGAGAAATCAATAGAAATAACCCATTTTGAGGAAGCCATGGCAAAATCAAATTCAAAACACAGAGTTTGTTCTCGGGAGTCTTCGGTGTCTTCTCTGTTAGCAAGCTGCAGCCTAAGTGGTAGTAATTCCTCTAACTCTGATGGCTCTTACCAATATAAGGATAAACTGTACAGTTCTGCATCTCAGGCTCTACAGGCCTACATTGATGATTTTGATCTAAGTCAAATGTATCCTGATGCAAGCATGGGAAAGATTAACATTGATAATTGTTCTGCTGATACACCAGAATTCTCCAACTCTATTTATAAACCAAACAATGGTATGCTTTTGTTCTTTGTGTCCACTGATTTAAAGCATTTGAGAGATGTGTTGTAGCTTGGAAAACAAGTATTTCTTTTTTGGTCTTTTGGGGGTAAAAAACTACTTTTTTTTAATATTAAGATCTGAATTTAAAAAATGATTCTGTAAATCTCTAGTTCTCAGGACTTTTCAGTTAAGAACCTCTTTTAACCTTGGAGGGATGATGATGAATGTAATTAATGATAGCAGGTGGCTGATACTTAAGCCATTTTATTGTAACATAATGGAAAGGACACTGACTTTGTGGTTCTAGCTTTCATTAACTAGCTTCATGACTTTAAACAAATCTCAGCCTTTCTGAGTTTATATTTGATCAGTCCCAAGTGCGATAGGACCATCCCGCTAGCCTTCCTGATCTGTATTCTGTGGGACAATAATATTCGTAAAATGTTAAGTTTTTTCTTGATAAGGTTTCCATGAAGACAAGTTTGGAAAAAGTATCTGTTGATTACCCAGTTAACACTGTATTGAGCATTTATGGAATAGCCCTAGTATGGGGGAAGTTTGCATTGAACTCTTAGAATGATGTGGGCAATATATTCCAGAAAAGGAAATTAGAACATTTTCGCTCTGTGTGTTAATGCTTTGTAAGGTTAGTAGGCAAGAAAGCAAATTATTTTTCCACATAGTTTAATAGCATATTTTTTTTCCTTTGTTGTATCCAGTATTGAGTGACCAGTATGTGTTAATATGAATGTATTAGGGTATTGGGTATATCTAGATGAAAAATATTGAAATGGTAAATCAAGGAACATGGGGAAACTCAGGAGATTTGAGAAAAAGTATAGAAGTTGGTTAAAACAAATTGAAGTGTTGTGAGAAAAAAGCACATCCTATTTAATCAACCCATCCCTTTTGTTCTTTCAATCAGAGCTTTAAAAAGATAAAGGGAAAGTGGCAAAAATGATTCTTAATTCTCATTTACTGTTGAATATTATGAAGTATTTTCATATGTGATATAAAAAAGAAACAGAACTATGCTTTTGTTTTTCAGCTTTTGAAAATCCTGGTCACAAAAAACACTACTTGTTCTATAGAAAACAGACTATTAATGACATAGACTCCATTAGTCTAACAACTGATGATTTATTAAAACTTCCAGCAGATGGATCATTTTCTTTCAGTTGTGTTGGACCAGGTCACAGATTTAGCAAGAAAAATAAGAAATGCATTGGAAGACTGAGTTCATCGGACACTGAAAAAGATCAAAATTTTCAACGACCCTTCACTGTCATGGTCAAGGATAACATAGTTACTCCTGCTGTACATACAAGTAAAAATGGAAAACAGTGTGGTAGACTAAAAAACCCAAAGCTTGTGAATAAGACTAATAATAAATGTGTTTCTAAGCCATCTTTATCTTTTCCCAAGAAATCATCTTTCAAGGACAGTTCAGAACACAGTCTTGAACAGAATTACCCAAGATGGCTCACTAGCCAGAAGTCCGATCTTAATGTTTCAGGGATAACTAGTATACCTGATTTCAAATACCCAGTTTGGCTGCACAATCAAGACTTGCTACCTGATACAAATAGTCAAAGGATTTACAAAATATTTAAAGAAGATCAGTGTTCCCCTAGACATAGTTACCAGGCACAAAGAACTTCTCAACTTATGAATAAACTTGACTGTTTTGAATATTCTTTCGAACCCTCACGCATGTCAAAATCCTTGAGTGATGATAAAGGAGTAGTTAATGAATATAAATGTGATTCTGAACATAGCCAGAGTCAGTGTAAGAATCTGCTTCTCCCAGGACAGTCCAAAAAGCCATTCAGTGGTAATTGTTTTTGTTTTGTTTTTAAGAATCAAAGTGCTGTAAATTTGATCTTATGCTTAGATTTTTTAAGAGTTTTTATGTTTTATTCTTGATGTAAAGATCAGGTGATGTATCTTTTTGTACTCTTATGGTTTTCATTTATGTAGCATTTTAAAACTAGAAAATGTCCTTTCTACCCTTTTTTCCTTTGTTTGAAATGTCACATTTTAACATAATTTGCTGTTTTAGATACTGTTATAGTCCAAATGATCTGAATTCTTGTTTCCTTTGTGAGATATTACTGAACTTTAATTTTTTTCTTAAAGAATTAATGTAATTTTTTAAATTAGGTGACAAAATTGAATTGCTTATTCTGAAGGCCAAAAGAAATCTAGAGCAATGTACTGAAGAACTACCGAAGTCTATGAAAAAGGATGACAGTCCTTGTTCATTAGATAAACTTGAAGCAGAAAGATCATGGGAAAATATTCCTGTTACTTTGTAAGTTACAATGGAAAAACTAGTTTTCCAAATGAAAAATGTCATGTTAATAACTGATTTATTTTTAAAAAATAACTTAATGATAGTTAGCAATGGTAATAAAAAGGCAATTCAATGGAACATAGCTTTCATTGTGGCTTGCTTTAAATTGCATTTTTCATTTGTTACCACAAGATGGTGTAATGTTTCATAATCTTAAATACATTTATATAACTTTTTACTTTCTTACATGTTTCTTTTGTTGCACTATAAAATATTGATAAGTGTTTAATATGAGGAATTAGAACCAAAAAAGTTATTTTGCAGATAGAGGAATGCTATGAAATTCTTAACTTTCTTTTTTATTTATTTTTTTCCCCTCTATATTCTCTCCATGTAGTAAAGTAAACCATTTCTTTTCATTTACATATTACCTTTTCTTTTAGTTGTTATTTTCCTTAAATGATGTGTACTTTCTTGTATGGTCTACTGTATGCATTTTTTTGTGGCTTCTAAGTTAGTTTCATATCTGTGCTTAACCTTTCTGTGACATAGTTTCTCAGAATAAAAAGTGTTTACCTAGATACCTGTGAATGTGAGGGTGGAGTAAGAATTGGGAGTTCATATAGGAAAGCTTTTTTTCTTAGTGCTATTACATCTGGGACTCATCAGAAAGGCATTCTTGGTAACTCTATATCCTGTCTTAGACTCTGATGATTATCTTCAGTTGTCTAAACTTTCATTCTTTTGTAGATGGAGTCTGTTAATTCCTCTATCTTTTTTTTTTTATTGCTTTTCATTTGAAAGACATAGTTTTTGAATGTGAACAATGACTATAATTTTGGTTTGGAATTCTGGCTCTGTTATTTCCTTACTGAGACTTCATACATGTTGCTTCTATTTTGTGCAAGACATTGTATAAGTTCTTCTATTTTGTGGTTGTTGTAAGGATTCAATTGATTAGAAAATAAATGTTAGGTATTCAGGTCAGTTTCTGACTTAGGATGAGCCCTCTTGTAGTTGTAGTGGTGATGATTATCCAGAGTATTTGTTTTCTTCATTTAACTTAACTTCTCAATTGTTGATTCAATAGTATCTTCTTTTTTTTAAAACTTGCATTAATAATTAGCTCACTTAATTTCTCTTATTTTTCCTATTTCCTAATTTTTTATATTCTTATCAGTTGGTCTTTGCATTTGTAAAGTACTGTTGCTGCAATACTTTGCTTTCAATTGGAACCAAAATGTTTGAGTAAGTAATATCAGAGATATTTAAATTAAGAGTAAAATATTTGAATACATTTAATGCATTTTGTAATTAGATAACTTCTAACCTGTCTAATTTTTTTATTATCATTAATGGTTTGGCCTAGTGCCTTGCATACAATAGTTGATTTTTGGAAGATTGAATTCATATTGTGATGGGTATGTTTGTACATAAAGTTAATGATGGATTGTGAGAAGAAGAAATAGACCTAATCTCAGTGTAACATTAACAAACTATCAGTCTGTCCTCAAAACCAAAATTGACTAGGAAGTACTTAAGGTGTAATGAATAAAAGATAGAGCATAACCACAACCAAATAATTGCTTTGTTTGAAAATTTCCAACAAGTTGGAAAAAATTAAAAAGCTAAACAAAGAAAGGTAGAACAACAGTATAATGAATCCCTCTGCACCCAGGACCCCTCTTCCATAATGGGGTAAATGTTTGTTGATGAAAGAAGGTAGATGTACAAATCCTTTTGGTAGAGTGGGAGAAAAGACTACTTGGGAGTGAGAGAAAGCTCACAGTAAATTACAAATCAAATGAGTCAGTAATGAAGTGCTGTTAATTATTGAGAAAAAAATGTGCATTTGACATTTAAATGTTACAAAAAGATTCTTAGGTATCAGTATTTGAGTCAGAAAGACATTGATATATAAATAAGAGAATGAATGCGTTTATTCTCTGTGACTAATAGAATTGGGAAAATTCTTTTGCTAGGGATTTTCCTCTACTACCCCTTGAACATCAAGAAGGAAACATACCATCTATTAAATGTTCTGGGTACATAGAGTTAATTTTTGCAATTTCTGTGTGATAAATGGGACTACAGATACAGAAATTGAAATTCAGATAATTTACTTAAGGTCATATAGTAAGTAGGATTAGGATTTAAACACAGAATTTTTATTTTCAAAATTGATCCTTTTCCCACTATAATCTGTCTTCTATGTTAATACCAGTTCTGGAGGGGAAGTCTGTCCTATTGCTTTGATGTGGAAAAGCATGTAAATGCCATCCCAGTGGAAACTCTTATGGGGGTTTTGTGTATTACCATTAGGTAACTAATGTTAATTAGAGAAATGTACTGCTTATTTCAAACAAAGAGCTTTTGGAGCATTGTCTATAATTGAAAGCTTATTTGTTTATTTTTCAGTTTCTTTATAGTTTTCCCTTAGAGCTTTAAAGGAGAAGCAAGGAGACGGGAGGGGGTTAGATTCTGACATCAGTTTAGGAGAAGATGAGGGACCAAGCACCATCAATATGAATCGTATCTTTAATGTTTATTTCTTGGTGACAGTTTGCATTTAAATGCTAACCATTCAATTATATACTAATTTTTATGAATTGGGAACTTAATTGCTATCTTGTATCCTTAAATCCTATTTAGCAAATCTCCTGTTCCTGTTAACTCTGATGATAATCCTCAGCAAATTTCAAAGGCAAAGTGTGCTAAAGGGTTCCTTGAAGACTTTTTACATAATGATAGTCAGGTGGGTAAAGTTAAATCTTTTTAACTTATTAGAAGAATATTTGTGACTAGTATATAGATATTAATTTCTGAGTTAGATGTTATACAACAGAAAGTGACCAAGACCCCCTCTTCTCCAACACATGTCATAAAACCAACACTCCTAGAATTACTAATTATTGTAGTATTCCAAAGTAGAGGGACCTGGGATTGAACTCTACAGAAACCTAAGTTGTCATTACAGTCTTTTCTGGAAAACATGTAAAACAGACTATTACAAAGTGAATTGTATTTTCCCATAGAGTGGTTGATTATGGAGAGTTGTATTTCTATTGAGACTATATCAACTCATCAATGATAATATATCATGAACCCTCTGATAGGATGCACAGTCCATTTCTAGAACTTTTTCATCTCCCCCAACTGAAATGCTGTACCCATTAAAAGTAACTCGCCATCCCCCTTTCTGTTTAGCCTCTCACTATCACCATTCTACTTTTTGTCTCTAAGAATTTGACTACTCTAGGAATCTTACATGTCTTAGTCTGCTCAAGCTGCCAACACCAGATACCATAGACTGGTGGCTTAAACAACAGAAACTTGTTTTTCATAGTTCTGGTTTCTGGGGAATCTAAGATCAAGGTGCTGGTTGGTGATGTTCCTGGTGAAGACTCTTCCTGGCTTGTAGACAGCCACTTTCTTGTGCTCTCACATGGCTGTTCCACTTTCTTGTGCTCTCACATGGCTGTTCCTTGAACTCTTAACATGACTCTTGTAAGGATGATAACCATGTATCAGGGCCCCCCTTATGACCTCATTTAATTTAAATTTTCTCTTTATAGCTGTATCTCCAAATACACCTGCATTTGAGGGTAGAGATTCAACATGAAATTTTGGGGGGACATGATTCAATCCATCATAAAAGAAGAATCATGCAATATTTGTCCTTTTGTGAACTGGCTTATTCTGTTAGCATGTCAACAAGGTTTATATATGTTGTATCATGTGTCAAAATTTCCTTTCTTAGATTGAACAATATTCCATTGTATGTACGTACCAAGTATTGTGTATCCATTCATCCATTGATGGATACTTGGGTTGCTTCCACCTTTTGGCTATTGTGGATAATGCTGCTATGAACATGGGTGTACAAATATCTTTTTGAATTTCTGCTTTAACTTCTTTTGGGTATGTAACCAGAAGGGGAAATATATGATCTTGTAGTAATTTTATGCTTAATCTTGAGGAATTGTGTTCCATCTTTTGAGGAATACCATTTTCCACAGCAGCTGCACCATTTTACATCCCACACCCTGTTTCTTACACCTTGCTAATATAACTGTGCAGAATGTCTTTAAAATCTTTTTAGCCATTATGCTTAACTTTCAATTTCTTCACCAGTGAGTACTCACTTCCAGTATCCTACCCATGCTAGTCAGCAGCTTTCCCTAGACTTGAGGATTAAATGCTGAAATATGTTAAATTTCATGTATCTTAGGAGGCCTATTTGCCACTAGTTAGCAGAACACGGCAACTCATTGAAAAGTGTAAATGTAATACATCTGTAAGACTTTTAAAAAGTTCAAAAATATCCCCTGCAGGAACCCTCCCACACCGTTGGTGGGAATGTAAATTAGTTCAACCATGTGGGAAGCAATATGGAAGTTCCTCAAAAAAACTAAAAATAGAAATACCATTTGACCTGGGAATTCTACTCCTAGGAATTTACCCAAAGAATATAATTTCCCAGATTCAAAAAAACATATGCACCCTTATGTTTATTACAGCACTATGTACAATAGCCAAGACATGGAAGCAACGTAAGTGTGCATCAGTATATGAAAGAATAAAGAAGAGGTGGTACATATACACAAGGAATACTATTCAGCCATAAGAAAGAAACAAATCCTACCATTTGCAACAACATGGATGGAGCTGGAGGATATGCTCAGTGAAATAAGCCAGGCGGAGAAAGACAAGTACCAAATGATTTCCCTCATTTGTGGAGTATAACAATGAAGTAAAACTGGAGGAACAAAACAGCAACAGACTCACAGACTCCAAGAAGGGACTAGTGGTTACCAAAGGGGAGGGGTGGAGGAGGGTGGGTGGGGAGGGAGGGAGAAGGGCATTGAAGGTTGGCACACATGGTGCGGGGAGGATCATGGGGAAGACAGCACAAAGAAGGCAAATAGTGACTCTGGCATCTTACTACACTGATGGGCAGTGACTGCAGTGGGGTATGCAGGGACAATAATATGGGTGAATGTAGTAACCACATTGTTTTTTCATGTGAAACCTCCATAAGAGTGTATATCAATAATACCTTAATAAAAAAAAAATATCCCCTGCAGATTCTCTTAAAAGTATTCTGACCACCTTATGTGGCTAAGTGCTGTGCCTTTTTTGGATACAGGTAAGATCAGTGATAACAGAGGTATGAGTGTTTTTTTAGGTAGCAAGGAATGTGTGGCTCATGAGGTGAAAAACCAGCATTTTCTTGTATGAAAGCTTATTTAGAAGTGGACAGAGAATAGTATATTTGAAATTTGAATCCTTGCTCAGTTGTTAATCAGCTTCGTTTACACACTTGCAAAGACCATGTTGGCTTACCCGATCCCTAAGAGCCTTTCAGTTTTAAAAATCTATGCTTTTTAATGTATGAAATGAATGCATTGCTGGTGTGAACATGTACTATTCATTTTAAAAGAGTAGGGACTAGAAACGATATGCCAAACTGTTAATTATGATTTTTCTCTAATGTCAGCTGGGGACTGGGTAAGGGAAGGTGATGAGTTACAATTTTGACATTTTAAAGACACTTTATTGACATGTATTGTTTGGACTTTCTTTTTCATTAATTTTTTACTGGGGGGAAAGTAATACAAAATTTTTTATACCCTGAATTTGAAAGGTTAATCACGCATCTTTTTTAACCTTAGAGCTGTACCCTTTCTGGAGGGAAACATCATGGTCCTGTTGAAGCCCTGAAACAAATGTTATTTAACCTTCAAGCAGTGCAAGAAAGTTTTAATCAGAATAAAACCACAGAGCCAAAAGAAGAAATTACACAAGTGAGCACAAACTTGATTTATGAATTGAGTTCTGTGAATATGACTTGAGATGTGCAAAGATCTGGGATTTCTTTCTAGATATTTTTAGTTTGACCTCTAATTCTATGTTAATAATTATGCCACATAACACATGTTGAGTTGTACTATTATTTTTTTTTTCAAAAGTAACTTTTTTAAATATAATACTACTAGATTTCTGTAGTTGTGTACCCCTGAGTAGATTGTTCTATTTAGTTTATGGTTATAAATACAGCATCTTACTTAGATATGATGATATTACCATTGTAGAATGAAAGGATTTATAAGAGTTGTTTTTTAATTCCTACAAAATTATTCTGTGTAGTCCAACTTCTTGTGTTTATATTTGGGGAGGCCTATAAAACCTTTTCACCATTAGACTTCTCCATATACCTTTGTCATCTGAAATCTAATTGTGTTACTATGTGTTTATTGACTTCTGACTACTATGTAAAATTTTATTTTAAAAATACTGTATTTTTATGTATTTCCTAGAATTTGGAAATCTGTCTTCTTTGGGCAGCTATTCTGTAGAGGTTGAATGTTCTTCATAGTAGTATGGTGTTTACGAACATAGAGTTTATATTCTTCCACCTCTGATTATAAATTCTAATTCTACTTTTCAGCAAGTGGAATATTTGTATAAATCACTTAATCTCTTTAGATTCAGTTTCCTTTTCTGTAAAATAAGGTTGTTGAGAAGAAAAATTAGACAAACAATATCAAGTACTTATTACAGTGCTTGACACCTGATAAAAAATACCTGGTAGATACTTAATAAATATTTTTATTATCAGTTTTGTTATTGTTATTCAGTAGAGCTTTATGAAATGCAGTTTTTATTACAGAGGAGTGGATCAGCTCTTGGGAACTGTCACAGCCTGCTCATTTGAGTTGTATTTTTCTCTTTACATTCTAATAATAATAACATTAACATATGGAGTGTAATCCATCCTACTTTCCTCCTTTTAAATATCATAGAGATATAACCTTGTTCAGTAAAGTCAAAATGTCAAGACAAGATTTGATTTTTATTGGACATGCATGTAGATGCTTACTTCAGGACAATTGAAAGGTGATCTAACTAGTAGTTGTGTTTTTAAAATAAAGAAAAAATAAACAATGATTGGAAATTATTTGCTAGAATGATTTCATTGGAAATGCAGACAGTATTTTTTAACGTTCTTAGTAATCACAAATAGCATTTAAGTTTATACTTATGTAATTTCAATATTTTGTTATATTTTGTGTTTTTAATAATAGGTTGCAGAGGACAATTTCTCTAAGTTACAATTGAAGGAAAGTATGGTTCCTATTACTAGGTCACTTCAAAAGTAAGTATTCATTACTAATTTCTAAGTATGTTATGGATACAAATTCGTTAACCATCTTTTGATTGACATCAGAATGTTATAGGATGGAATTAACCAATTCTAAGAGTAGATGTACTCGGTATATCTTAACATCTTAAATACAGGCTTCTTGGAGCATATTATATAATCCCTACATTTTTATCTTAAGTCTGTGCTATTCCTATTTAAAATGTTCTAAGAACTTAGTGAGATAACCTTAGACACCTAAAATATAATGAATATGAATGGCCTAGAGAGTCTCTTCATTTCTGAGTAATAGCAACAATTTGAGATAATATTGGTATGGATATTCTGGAAGAACAGCTTGTTCATGGAAGGTGTCTTCATATATTCCCTTTAGGATAAACATAATCACAAATGCATCATAATTTGACATATCTACACAGAAATCTAAAATGTATATAATGTCCTGGGTATAAAGATAGATAAGCATCCTTAGGGCTTAAGATCTATCTGCTTATCTTAAACAAAACAGTGGGGAAGAATACAAGTATGACCTATTACGGTCAGGATATTGGCAGAAAGGAAGGGTGTTTATTTATGGGTTTATTTGTGTGAATATGCAATGCCCTCAGAAGAGGGAGTACTGAGCTTAGGATATGCTGATTAAAATTTTTTACTTTGGTAACACCCTTTCACTTGGCTGTAAGTGGAACTAAACAAATACTGTCTATTTTTTGTCCTTCCAGAATTGGCTTAGGATTCTGTTATTTAAGAAAGTGATGGAAAAGTGAAACACTAGGCATGTCAACTTAGGACTCTGTCATTACATATATTATATACATACACATATACATATATGTGTATATTTATGAATTTTTTTTTGTTTTCATAGTTTACAAAACATATATATATATATATGATTTTTTTCCTCTGCTTAATTTATAATCTTGTGGGTGGAAGTATGCCTCTTTCTTTATAGCTGGCCATAGTACTTGGGTATAGTGTTTCATACCCAAAAAGATTCAGTGAATAATGATAGTAACTAATATTTATTGAACATTTACCAAGTGTCAGTGTTCTTAGTGCTTTTGAATGTAATGTATGTGATCTTCATAACCCTATGAGTCAAGTACTATTATTATCTTTATAGTATAGATTAAGTAATAAAGATCAAGTAGTTAAGTAATTTTCCCAAGGTTACAAAGGTAGTAAGAGAGAACGCAGGGATTCAAATCAGACAGCCTGTGTTTCTAACACTTATCTCATTAATGATAGTGATACATTATCCATTTACACGAGGTTCAGGGCCTCAGCTGATTATCTAGGTTAAGACCTTTTTCTGCTTTTAAAGTAGATGGCCTCAAGCTTCCCATGGCTCTTAAAAGCATTAGTATTGAACTTGTCACAGACTTAAATGTGTTTTTTTGAGTTAAGGCACATACCCTGGAAGGTGTTTTTCTTGGTGAAAATGAACACTAGGCCATAGGTAATTAAATGACTACAAAAATTGAAGTTGATCATAGGTGCTTTTACCATTTGCTAGATTTAAAAAAAAGTAATAGTAGCTTTTTTTCTAGCTTAGGCAATTAGTGATCTTGCCTACAGATAGAATGCCATTTTCAGAGAGTAAGGTCCATGTTTTGTTAGATTTGGCTTTTACTTTACATGTCAAAGGTATCATCAGTAAGGCATCTGTACTGTTATGAGGCAAGTTGAGACTTACAGAAACATGTTACTATATTTTTTCATTATTTTCAGTCTGTAGATTGACTGTTCTAAAGACTATTTAAACTTAATTCAACCTCAGTGTTCCTTTTTCTAGACTGCAAAATGTTCTGGTTAGATTTATGGTCATCTTTTCATATTTAAAATAAATAAACTTGGCTTCTTCACAAGTTACAAATTGTGCCTTGGGTGCTTTAGTGACCGTTCCTAGGGTAAAAGTCCTGTTATGTTGTCCCTGTTTCTCAAATAACAGTTCTTATTTTTAACGGTTTGGATTGCTTACCAGTTTTAAAATATCCTTCATTAGTATAAAGAGACTCCAAGGTCTTAATATGCATTCACTTTACTCCCTTGGACATTCAGTTTTCTGAGGTTCTCCCATTAGAGATAACTGTTCTGTAGGATTACACAGTGGACCTTAAGTATAACTGACTGATAATAGCTTAAAATGTTATTTTTTCCAGAGGGATTTTTGCTTTTAGGGAACAAAATTGTAATTATCTTGTATTCCTTTCACGCTTAGCTTTGTCTTGTATGTTTACATATTAGAACTCAATAAAAACTGAGACCTCCATAAGAAATTTGTCATCTTTAAGCAAATGAAAAGACTGTAGTTTTTGAGCAAGTGCCTTTTCTAGAATCTTTTATGCCATGTCAGCCACCAGCTATTCTGCCTAGGCTAGCTGTGAAGAACGAGCAGTAGTAAACTGCTATATACCAGAAAGGTAAGCGACAGTAGATAATTACAAAATCATCAGTCATCCAAAAATAATTTTAATTTAACTCTTGGATATGTTTTATATATAATTTGGAAATGGATGTGTAAGCTTTTGTAATTCTGAGTACTTAAGGCTATGCTTTGAAGACCAAACTTAATGGTAGCTAGAAAACTGTCCTCTGTTTCTCAGGCACTTTTCCTCCTCAGTTTTCTGGTTTTCATTCTATACTAGAGAAACAGAATGACCTCTCAACTTGGAAAACATGATCCTAAAGCAGAGATTTTTATTTATTCTAAAATACTCATACTTCACTTGGATCTAGTGGTAGGAAGTTGTTCTGAAAAGACTTTCACTCAGTTCTTGCTGTTTACTAGCTGAATATAGGACAGTAAACATAAAATTTAGGAGAACAGTCAGTATAGTAGTATAAATAAGAAACCAAAGGCAAGATAACAACGAGTAAATTAAAATGTAGCTAAATTGCCTCATATAATCAGTCTGTTATTTTCTATGGGTCATTTGTATTTAATGTTCATCAAAGATACATTGTTATGATAAAAAATGAGTTTCTTTTATTTCACTTTTTAAGGTGAGTGACTACTCAGTGTTGTAACATAACCCTTAATGTTTTCCCAATTAGCCTGCTTTTTAACTTTTTTAGAGAAGAAAATAAAGAATAATTTCCTTCCACAATTTTATCATTCAGTTCCCCTGCAAATAACTGAAATGGAAATCACTTATGATAGCCTCTTCTTTAAGTAGATTGATTGTTTCATTCTCAGCAGGGCAGGTGGAGGTTGAGTGGAAGAACTAGCTGAAGTAGCAGGATTTCGGATTTCTCCTTAGATTTTTTATTCCTTCCCATCATACCATATCTCTCTTTTTTTCCTCCCCTTCTCTCCTTTCTCCCTGACATTGTTTCTTCAAGGCATAAAATAAACTATATAGTTTTAGAAAGGAAACCAGTTATATTAAATTATAGTTTTAAAATATTAAATTTCTAATTAGTAGTATGTGCTTCTTTATTAATGCATTCACAATAAAACAATACACTTAAAATACAGGTAAGTTAAAATTCATTTTGTAAAAAACATGGATTAGTGTAAAAGTTTTATATAGCTTGAATAAAAGCATTAAATAAACCATGGAATGGTTTTTAACTTACCTTTCACATGTTGATCAGCAAACAGAGAAATGGAATATTGGGAAGCATTGGTATCTGGGTCACCAGTGAGACTTCACTATTTAGTGGATGAACAACTAGGCTTAAAGTTATCTATGTTCTAGCAGTGGGTTTAATAACTATTATAATTTTGGAACTATTCTATAACTATTGTAAATTTGAAGTAGTGATGAGGAAAAGTTATTTTGAGATACCTGCAATGACGATAATGTGATAAGAAAGTATCTCTCATTTCTGTGGCACATGAGGTCACAGATTTTGGTCTGTTGGCTTATATTCATAATGGAAGGAAATGCTAATTTACAGGCAGCATTTAGTGAAAATAAAGATGGGGATTTTTTTCCCATCTAATTTCATAGACTCTCTAAATCCAAGGGATCTGTGGCCCTCCGAGTTGTATACAATAAGACACTAGTCACTTGCTTTTTTTCTTTCTCTTGAACACAGGTAGTTCAATTAACAATCCTGAAAAGAGTAAGAAGATAAGTCCCAAATTGCCTTCTTTCTCATAAATGTGTCTCTGGAAGAAAGTAATTCTTTAGCTAGAGAGATAGTACTATAGCATATAGAAATGATAGAGTCTATATAGTTAATTTTATCTCTGATTGCTTAGTAACTTTAGATGAATTGTCATTTAGTTAATGAAGATGAAAAGCTCACAAAGTAATTAAAATTGCCAAAAGGGTGGTAGAAACCAAGTTCTTATTTGAGTAAAAGTGTCTAAGAAGTAGAATACAGGGAAGTAGATACAATACAGTAATTAACACTACTAGTTTCCTTCATCCTCATCCTGGGTAAAGTGGAAGATGCGTTTTATTTAATCTACATTTATCAGGCCTGTTTTACGGACTGTAGAATGGGGTGTTGTAGTTGCCACCTTTCAGCTCATCTTAGAAATTACTAAAATGAGAGGTTACTGCACATCATAATTACATAATTTGTTTTTCTTGGTCTCTTATTAGAGAGATTGAATATGGTTGAGTAACTTTTTTTGAGTGGTCTTCAAGGATCTGAAGGATAGAGGGGAGGAAAAACTGAGAGAATATTCTTTAGAGGAAGGCTGGAAAAAAGAGGCCTTCTCTTCCTGCTTTGTTTGAGGGATGATTGAATTTTTTTCCATTGAGACCTCATCTATAATCTTTAAAGAAAAATCAGGTTGTTGGTATAATACCACATTATTAAATGTAATTGCCATTTGTTTCCTGCATGCTCAAGGCAAATGAGTTTTTCCTCAGAACTGTAACTGATCATTCAATGCTATTCTTTAAATTTTAGCTATCTTGAATATACATGTTAAAAATAAATTATTATTTTTTAAATGATATACTCAGAATACCAAAAGGAAAGGTATTTCACAGAGCTGTTGTAAAAATTACATGAAAAAGTTTACTAAGTGTGATACAAATTATATGCATTACTGTTTCTTAGTAGGCTACTTGACAGACTTAAAAAAACCTTGAATATCAAAAATATAATTTTTTAAAGTAAATGTTTATAGAATTTTAGGCAAATTATCTTAACCCTTATTCAGACCTCAAAGTTTTATGAAGGAAAAATTGTGTTTAATAACTAAAATTCTGTAAATTCATTTCACATACACTGAAGTTAAACAATGTAATCACGTTTTCTTGCTGTCTGCATTGCCTAGTCAGTTCTTAATACTGGTTTATAATGTGTTTTATACTTTTTAATAAAGGGCTTTGCACCATTTATCTCGCCTGAGAGACCTTGTTGATGATACCAGTGGGAAACAAGTCACCGAAAATGTGAAGAGGAAAATAAAATGGTCTAACCAATAAATAGTCACCACAGAACAAAAATATATATTTTTCTATTGCTTAAACTGACAAAGGAAATATAAGCCATACATTATCCTGTTATTGGTTTCAGTATAATATTTAAAAAACCAAACTTGAAAATATCCATAGGTTTTTGTGATCTATTCTCATTTTGTGCCAAAATACCAGAATGTGATCTGCAAGGATTCACACTATGTCCTACAGTCTGATTTTGGTCTTCAGGACAGCAACTGTCTAAAATTCAAAGAAGGGTGATTTCTGATCTGGAAGTTTACATGGACTTAACCTTCAGCATCCTCATGATTTTATCATCTGGCTCTGGATCATTAAGAAACTCTTCCTGGTTTCTACCCAAAATCTCTAAAGTTCAATAAACTTTTAATACAGTTAGCATCCATATTTAAGGAGCTTAAAGGAATATCAAAATTGTTATGGTATATCTTAGCCATATGGAAATGTTACTTTTACATTCCATAAATCAAATATTTAAGGTATGTTGTATTTACAAGTAACATTAGTTTTATAATGGGATGATACAGTGCTAACAGGAATGTTATTTTATATTGTGAAATCCAAGAGACTATCATTTAATGCTTTGATTTTGATTCTGTATAATATAATCTCGATAATACTTGACAGTTTACAGAACATTTTTGGGGGTGATATTTGAAAATTTAGTATTTTAGCATTAGATTATTTCCAAGATTTTAGTTTTGAGCTTAGGTCAAACTCTAGTAAAAACTATGAAATCAGTAAAATTTGATGAATTCTGATAACAGCTTGAAAAAAAAATATGGAAAATCAGCAACTTTGTATTTTAAAGCTGTTTCATAAGAGCTGAACTTTTTAAAAAGCAGTCTGTAGTCTTAAATATTTGTCTCTATCAAGTTCTAATAAACAGGAAACATCTTTACCAATAAAATTAAGAATTATGGCATAAAGCATGACTACTGAAGCATATTAAAAGTCTTGAAATTAAAGAATATCTGTGTATATATACAAATACTAGAAATACTATACCCAAGTGACAGCATCTTTGTTAAGTAGCTTTACTGTCAAATAGGAATTTCTAAGTACATTGGGTCAAATAATTTCCCCCAAATCTACGTAAGAACTTTGTTATAGAACTTACATGTTAGAAACTGTAAAGTGAACCCTTTTTTTTCCCTTGGCCAGTGAGTCAGAGTAACCATACTATTTTTTTTGCCCAGTTTGAGAGTCACTTGCCAATAAGTTTGTTTTATTTACTCTGTGGACATATTTCTGCCATTGGCACTCTGCTTTCTGAATATGGTCTTGTGCTTCACAGCAAATAGTATGCATGCAGCCAAACAAGGCATTAATTTGATGATTAAAGAATGGTTGGCTATTAGAAAAATGCTGATTTTAATTGGATGAACATAAGGTGGATCTGGGTTGATCATGTTCCAGGCTTAGTCGAATCCACTTCTGGAAAATTCTAAAGAAGGCAGAGAAGATAAAGACATCAGATAATAAACTTCTAATTGCATATTAGAGGTTGATAAGATAGAATAGTGTGCCTGCAAAAGCATCTCCCAGGGGTTTATGCTGTAATAATTCTGAATAGCACTGATTTGGGAAGTGCTTCCATTTGCAAGAATGTATCTCCAATACTGAGTAAGTTAAGATTGTCCTAAAATTTTATGTTGTAACTATTTTTAAGAAATTTAATTATACTTACCAAAATAGTATTTTTCCTTTTGTGTTAAAAATATGGAAGTTTTTTTTACCTAAGAAGGAAGTTAAATAAAAATGACTAATTCCAACCATTTTAAAAAGGAAATATATGAGAGTCACACTCAGAAAAATAGCTAAATGATAAATATTCAAGAAATTCTCTGGAGAATTGATTTAATTAATTACATGTTACATATTTCAGGCTTTTTAATTTTGAGATTTCCAGTTGGGAAAAGGGAGACAATAGTATTGAGACTGCTGACTTGAGAATTTAAAGCAGATAATGAGAACAATTAGATTTTTAAAATTACATTGTGAATATAAAATTTGATCACTTTTCCTCTTTTTAGATATATTGAAAAATGTTCAGTAGAAAAAATTGTGAAAATTTTAATAAAACATTTCAAAGTTTTAATTGAATATGAAAAAAATGTAAAAAATCTAAATCCAAAAATTATTTGAGATCAAAGGATAAAGGTATGATGAATATGTGAAGACAAAACTCAACTGTATTTTCTTATCAATAAGAACTCAGATTTTTCTGTGGCAATTAATTTCAGCTTCATAGGATTTCTAAGCAAATTGAGAAACTGTTTTCTTGGGTTTGTTTTGGTTATGTCTCTAGTTACTTTTGTTTTTTGTTGAAGTTCATAAATGTGGATTTTTTTGGGTATTATTTTATACTTAATATTTAAGATAATGTCTTGTTAAATTATACATAGCTATAAAATGTTTCCTGAAGATAAATCATGACAGTATTTCTTGTTTCCCCCTATGTTTTGAACACACAAAATCACTCATAATTTGAATTTAAATTTTTCCTGTCCTACCTTTCACTATGTCTAAGAACCCTATTTGGAACTTGGAAAAAGTCAAGTGGCATGAAAAGAGATAAAAGAAAAGGCCAATAAAACTGGTAATTTCTGAACAACTGGTTTCTTCAAATATAAAAGACTTTGTATTGTTGTATTCTGTGTATCATTTGGATGTTTCATACTTGGTTATATGTTGTTTTGGATTGTAGTGCTCTATGTGTAATGATAAAATGTGAACATAATATATAACAGGTGATATTAGATATTTCCTATTATATTTGAAATTATTCCTTTCCTACTTCCCTGCTTCCTTTATTTCCTTTGTTATATTCATCTGTGGCTAACAGCCACAAATGTCTGTTTTGAACAAAAAATAATTTTAGCTTTTTACCCTCCTGGTTTATTCTACATTGTCTTTACTGTAGACCAGACCCATCTATGTGACAGCTTTCTCCCAATGCTACAATTTTTATACAAATTTATACAAAAAATACTACAACTTCTAGCCATCCTTCATTACCTTACCTGAGACTAGTCAATTTGCCTCCTGATGGCCTATTACAACCCGAAACGTTCCTCCCTTACACTGAAGACAGGCTGTCTGGTCTCTGCAAGACAGTTCCACACCCGCCGCCTTAACCATACTGATCTGTTTTAGCAAACTGAGTTAGCTAAATTGCTCTACTCAGATTCTCCCTAAAATCTACGTATATTCTCATCTTTGTGCGTTGTATTTTCCATACTTGAAACACAGAGTTTTCTTTCATTCTGGTTGTCTAAAGCTTACTCTGCCATGTCTTTAAAGCTTTTGTCTTTCCCTTTCCAAACTTTCTAACCTTCTTGCAAACTCTAGTAAGTTGGTTTTCCTTTTTCCTTCCCCCGTCACTCTTTAAGCTATTATATTTTTTGTTTATATTTAGCTACTATATTTTGGACAGTGCCTCTTTTTTCCCATTGTATTCCTAGGGGAGAAAATGTCTCAAAAAATGTTAGATGATTGATTTTTGTTTTATGTCCTTGATGATACTGCCTCTTATATTGTGTAAATAAAGAACATGTAAATTTATAGAGTGTTGATTGATAATTCTAAGAGTAGTTCCCTGTATAAGGTGAGCTCAAAATAGGAGAGACCACATCTTTTATTTATGCAATGTTCTATAAATCCTTTTTAAAATGAAGTAAATTAAACCTGTTTTGGAAGTCACTTTTTTGATGTTGCTGCTATTTATCAGATAAAATCAACATTTGTGTAAGTATTTTGGGTGACTTAATTGTAAGCTTTCTCACCCCTTGAACCCTCAAAACTTTAAGATTTTTGAGTTTTTCTATTGCATTTCATCAGGTACATAAACTATTTTACAGATCGAGAACTAAGTCTAGGAAAGCTTTCAGTGACGGTTTTTTATTGTGTTACTTCTTTGAGACTGGCTTGATGGGAAACTACCAGTCTGGGTCCAATCTAGAAACAGAAACCACACAGTGGCTTTAACAAGGGAGGTTTAATTTTAAAATGTTTTAACTATGCCAAAGAGATAAAGGAGAGCTCTGCGGTACTGCAGAGCTGAGGGAGAGTACTCAAGGAAGGATGTTCTTGGAAGAGGGGGCCTAAGATTTGTGCTCAGGCCATGTTGAAGAAGGGGTGGCTGCAGCTCACTGGATGGCAGAGAAGTTTACTGGTTTGCCCTGACTGGAGTTGGTGGGCAGTCACTAGGCAAGCAGGAAGCCTCCCTGAGGTTCAGGGAAGCTGGAGCTGGTGACTGGGTGTCTGGGCATGCAGGGGGCATAAGGGGTCCCAATGTTGGCAGGATACCTGGAGCATGAGTTGGTTGTTGTGTTGGGAAGGTTGAAGGAAGGTGATCACCAGCCTGGGCCAGCCTGAGGTTGCCAGGAGAACCATGTATTCTGGGATTGTGGGCAGAGCACCACTGGATGTTTTCATACCCACCTGGTTTGCTGATGGTGCAGGTGGAAAGCAAAAGGACAGTCCCTTCAGGGTGAATTTGGAGTTGAGATACTCTAAATTGGTAACCAGCATAGAAACTGATCAGGTTCTGGAAAGATTTTGTGGGAGGGAACATCATAAGGGTAAATACAAAATGCCTTATATTCATCTTTGCCTTGTCTGTGTTACATACTACATATCCTGTCGAAACCAAGAACTACCAAGTTTAAGATAGCAAAAAATGTCAGGTTATGTGGAAGACAGGCATAATGAGAAACTTTGGGCCAATATTTTCAAAATCCACTGAATTTGATAACTTTGTAGAAGAGTTCTGAACTAGAGATCTGGAACTATTTTAAATATTCTGGAATAATATGAGGATCAAAATGTCTTACATAGGAGTAGAGTGCATCCTTCCATTACTTTTCATCAGGGTGGCCACACAGCTTTTATATGAATGTTTCTGGAAACAGAGTTTCCTGCAATTGAAATGTTTTGTTTCATAGTATATTTTTTGCTTCAATTAAGCCATGATGTTTTTTGTGTCTTCCACGTAATTGCTCTTAATTTTGCCTTTCAAGACAATCTCATACACACATTTCAGTCTTCCTAATATTGAAACCAACAAGAGTAAGGTGTAATGATCCTTCACTCTTTCAGGCTAAGTGTTGACTAGTTTTTAAGTAATTTCTTTGGACAAAGTTTTATGTTTCTTATTGTCTAACTTTGGATTTTGGCAAAGTTTTCAAAGCTTTGCTTAAATATCTACAATTTGCAAATGATTCAGAGCCCTATTTAACAGCAAAACTAGATATACACTTCTTAAAAAAATTGAGATGTACTTGATATTAGTTTCAGATGTACAGCCGAATGATTCAGTATTTTTATATATTTTGAAATCACAGTAAATCAACACCCATTACTGTTATTTTTTATCGCCACCTGTTGCTAATTTTTTTCTGTTTTGTTGAATTACAATTGGTAAAACTAAGACATTTAAATTGTATGTTGTGATGATTCAATATGCATATACATTGTGAAAAGATTCCCTCCGTCTAGTTAATACACCCATCACTTCATGTTTATTTTTATGTGTGTTTTTTCGCTTTTAAAGAATGTGGCACCAGATGTCCTAAATGCATAGAGTAGAATGAGACTCTACATTTTATTTTTTAATAATTTGATTCTCCACTCAGCGTTTATTTGGCTCCTGGAACTGTGCTAGATGTGTGTGGGGGTGGAGGCAGGAGAGGGGAGTGTAGGTAGGGGTGGGAGAGCTTATGGCAAGTAAGTCATGACTCTGTCATGAGGAACTTGGTGGACATACATAAATGGGTACTATTACTCTACAACCAGTAAGTGTTGTTTCAGAGGAATGAAGATGAAGCAACTGCTATAAAGGCACAGAAGATGGAACAGCTAAGTGGCCTGGGAAAAATCAGGAATGATTTCACTTGGGAGGGAGTTACTTGAGTTGATCCAGAAAAGCTAACAAGTTTGTCATCAAAGAAATTGGGTGGAAGAGTGTTTTTTCTTGGCAGAGGGTAATATGTGTGAAGAGTTCAGTGGTCTGAGGCAAATTGGCTTAGGGTGTTGTGTGTTGTAGTAGAAGAAACCTGCACTTTATCGTCAGGCAGATTTGTTTATGATTTCACCATTTAGTAGCTCTTTATTGTGAAATTCCTTGACCTTGCCTGAATCTTTTTGTTTTCTTTCCCATTTGTAATAACTACTTAGGAGTTTTGTTTAGATGATTAATGATACAAGTTATGCTTGGCACATACGAACTCAGTAAATACTAGCTGCAAATACGGTGATACATCTAGTTGGAGGAGGCACTAGGAATAGACATAAGACTGCTTTTACCCTTGTGCCTCCCCATCCTATTCTCTACACGATAGCAAGAATTATCCTTTAAAACATACCTGATGATGTTGAATCTCCTCAAAACTTCCAGTGGCTTCCCATCCCAGGGTGTGAAGTTCCTACCATAGCGAAAAAGCCCCTCAGCCCCTAAAACTGAATTTGCTCACTGATTCAGCCACACTCATCTTGCCGTTCTCAAGTATCTATGAACATGCTTCTGCCTCTAGGCCTTCACGTTATTTCATCCATCTAGACAGTCGTCCCTCAAATTCCCCATGATTTCACTTCCTCACTTAAGGTGTCTGCTCAAATGTCACTTTATCAGAGAGGCCTATCCTAACCCCACCAAGCCTTGTGCCGTTATTCTTTGCCCCTTTGCCACTACTTTACTTTTTCTTCACTAAATGTTGAGAGCAGGGACTTTAGTTTATTCACTGTTTTCTCCCCAGACAACTAGAATAGTGCCTAGTGGTAAAGTGCTACATAAATGTTTTCTGAATGAATGGGGCTTTTATACTGTAGGTAAAGGGAAGGGGACCACCATTTTTGCATCCAAGCTGAAAGTGGATTTCGTTAGTCCCTACATTAATTTGTGGTTGCAGTAAACTGAACTTTTTTCCCCAAATACTAAAGCCAACCATTTTCCTTCTTACCAGTAATTAGTCTTTAATGCCTGATCCCATGGCGGAAAGGCATTAAGTTAGTACTTTCCTGAGGTAGTAAAGAAAACTATGCAGGCCTTAATTTAGTTTTTGTTCAGAGCTACAGAGCTACTTTTACTGAGGTTCCTATGATGTTTTAGTGTAAAATTAGGTTCCCAGAATACAGGTGTTATTTTTTTATACTGATGTTTAGAGGACTATTGATTTGCCTTGGTTTGCAGTAGTAGATGCTGTTTGATTGACCAAATGATTATTTGGGTTTTTAGACAACAGTATAAGAAGACAACAGAAACTAGCAAACAGAAGTCCGTTGGAAGGGGTTCAGAAGCTCCGATGACAGAGTGTAATATCATGCGTGACTTGGCTCAGCCAGGGCTGCAAGGGACATGATAATGCCTTGAACTAAAGTTCAGCACCCCATCAAGTCATTTATATCTTTGATTTTTTTAAGAGATCGAAATAGGAAAAATTTTACTCCAAAGCAGGTTTACTTATCTCATTAATGTGAGTTAAAGCAGAGTCACTATTCTTCAAAAATGAGCAAAGTGTAGCAAATGTTTACCAAATTTCTGCTGTAGTTCTTGTTCAGTGTGTGTGTGTATGTGTGGGTTTCTGAGTCATTCTTGAGGGTTTTTAAATGCCATGTTCTCTCCTCCCCCATATTAGCCGGCGTTTTTAGCCAGTGTACCTTGGGCAAATTGCAGCTTTAAGTTTCAATTGGTAAGAAGCACAAATAACAGTACTTGCTTCTCCCAGCTAATTGAGGGTAAAGTGTTTGCTTAACATGGTGTGTCTCCTACATAGTAAGTGCCCAGTGTTAGTTTTTACTGGTAAATGCAATTATTGAGTACTTGCTTTCAGAATTTCAGCTGAATACAATTGTTGCCATTTAGCTGCCTGTATATAGATAGTTTGTAGAAATAGGTTAACAGGTCAGTTTCTAAGGACTTTAAATTTTTTTCCCACTAGAGGACACTGTCTACTTTGGCAGAAACAAGATTAAGAAACTGCCTGATTGGCCCACTAACCCTTAAATCTGGCTTGAGCTTTGCCCCTGGCATTCATTCTCCATTTACAGTGCTTGGAGATTGTGCTGAAATATGTGAAGAAATGCTTTTTCTATATTCCCTTCCCTTTGTTTCCACATCAAAGTATAACTCTTTCGTTTTGAGGAGGGAGAAGCATCTCTCTCCATTCTGTAAACCAGATATATTTAGACACAGGGTATTATGATTCGGGCCCCAAATCTCTTCTCCTCAGCATGCTTCAGCCCCGGGGTTCCTGTTAGACCACTAATGGACTTGGAGTGTACCGATCTCTCCCTAGGTACCCCCCGCACACACATAATGGAAGGATGTCTGAACATTGGCATGTGCTTCTGCCATTGTAAAGGATGGGTCCCTGAAAAAATAATTACCTTTGGGTTTTCCCTTCAGCAAGACAGGCTTGACATTGTGAGCTGGGAGTGGAGATTCAAGGGAAGTACCCTTGTCACTTCTCATCCTTGAGGCTGCTTCCCCACATAGGATTAAAAGCAAGCTTAGCTAGTAGACTAAACCAGTGACTAAACAAGTTAGGCAGGAAAGAGGAGGTATGGGATGGGGAAGGAGAAAAGGCAAAAAAAGGGTGGCAAAAGGTGAAATACAAAGTTTGATAACTTTACTATTGTGAATGAACAGATCCTGCTGAGGTTGGTTTTTTCATGGATTAGTAGCAGCTTTGGATTCCTGCCTGGTGACCATTCTTACAAAGTAATTTTGCAGAGGATGTTATAGCATCCACATCTCAGTCTGCATGTGACTTACATTGCTTCCCCTTGTTTCAGTCTGTATACAGTGGAATACCAATGTGAAGGGCCCTGTTACTATGTCATCATTTAGCCATGGCTACAAGGGGGGCCCCCAACATGAAAGGGTGAGTAGGGTATGGAGAGAATGAAGATCTGAGGAGATAACTGGAATGCTAGGGATTCTCTATGGCCTGGTAGGGATAGAAGGAGGGCTCCTCTTTGAGTCATCTTCATAGAGTCCTGAATCATAAAACTAGGAGCTCGAGTCTCTGTAGCCCACTTCTAGGTTCTGTAACTTTAGATTTCATTCTCTATAGCCCATGGTCTCTGATTCAACTGAAAAAGTCCAAACTCTTAGCATTAACTGTGTAGCAGGGTCTTTCTGGCTATTGGAAGGCCTCACTTGTTAGGAAACACCCAAACCAGGACTTTGGTTCAATAATTTGAACAGCATCTTGTCCAAGGACCATATATTGTGACCACAAAAAGAGGGTAAGGCAGGAATGGTCTTAATGCTGGCAGAGTTGAAATAAGACTTGAAATTAGAGATAACTAAGGAGTTTCCCAAAAATCTACTGACTTAACTAAAAGTGAGGAGGCACTGGTTTCTGGGGGAACTAGATTATAAGCAATCTAGTAGAAATAATCATCCTTTTAATAAAGCAGGATCTGTCAGGTCGCTAGACAGACACAAGTGGGTCCTGTCCTGGGCAAGGCCTTCCCCTTTCCACCTACCCTCTTGTCACCAGATGGCAGAACGTGCCCCAAGCTCTTGTTTATGGTTCGTTCATTCTCCTGTCTTATCAGGGCCAAACAAGATTTAAAAGGCCAGTGGGACTTCAAGGCCATCAAAACAGGTTGGCTGCAGGCACACTAAGACCTAGAAGGTGAAGGTGGCGCAGAGCTACCTTGGGGTTCATTATACTGTAATTATAATATAATGTATTACATATAAGTATAATGTAATACATTATACTGTAATATATAATTACAGTATAGTAAATATACTGTAACTACAGCCTCCCCCCCCCCACACACACAATGGGTTCCACTTGGGTACTTAGGGGTAAGTGCCTGTGCACTAGGAAGGTTATATAATCTACAACGGTCAATCAATTTGTCAGTTGAATGATGTAAGACTCAGGGATGGACTTTTACCATTTAAAAAACCAACCCTAACCTTAATAGCAGGGCTGCTTCTGGTTTCCTAACTGCCCACTATCCACCCTTTCTGAGAGTGCACTTGTACTTTGCTTAATAAATTCCTGCTGCTAAGACTGTCTTAAGTCTTCTCTTGACTGAATTCTTTCCTATGAGAAAACAAAGAACCAAGGTCTAAATGAACTTGTAATATCTACCCTACCTAGAAGAGAAGCTGATACATGGTGATTAACAGATTGTTATCACACACCTTTCCAGGTGATCCTAGGGCCTGAATTTGAGAGTAGGGAGATATTGTATCTGTGTTCTAGAGCAAGGGTGGGCAAATTTTGGTGCACAGGTTTTTGTACACTCCAAGAGTAAGAATATTTTTTTTATTTTAAAATGGTTGAATAAAATTTAAAAGAGAAATAATATAAAAGAATGAAATCTACATGAACATTACTATGCTAAGCATGCATCACAATATTTCCAATTATAGAAAGGCAACAAATTAGAAAAAAAGTTTCACAGCAGAATTTCTAAACAAAAATAATAAATGAGGCTGATGCCACAGTGTTTTGAGTGGCTTGTTAGCCAGATAAGGCAAACTATACTGATAAAAAGCACATTAAATGGTGATTAATTGCAGAAACTGAAGGAATGTGTCCAGAGAAAATAAATTTATTTAGGACTATTAGCCCTTTTTGGAGAATAGTTGACCAAACAACTAACATTTTGAACAACGTAATAATTAAAAATCAGGGCAAATAATTTCAGTGGTTTTTCTTGGCTCTTGACAAGTCCAAAAGATTTTAATGATACTAAGTTGTTTTTTATTTCAGAAGTCAATGCCAAATTTGAAGTGACAAAAGAATTAGCCTCAATGAATAGTATTTCAAAGAAGTTGAGAAAAATGAATCAGTACACATGAAGTGGAATCAGTTAAGATGTTTTACAACTTACAGTGGTAAAAATATTATGTGAAGCAGAACCCAAGAATGGACTAGTGGTTACTAAAGGGAAAAGGGTTGGGGATGGTGGGTGCAACGGGAGGAAGAAGGGGATTTAGGGGTATTATGATTAGCATATGGGGGAGGCATGGGGAAGGCAGTATAGCCCAGAGAAGACAAGTAGTGACTCTAGCATCTTACTATGCTGATGGACAGTGACTGCAATGGGGTGTGTGGTGGGGACTTGATAATGGGGGGTAATGTGGTAACCACGATGTTGCTCATGTGAAACCTTCATAAGATTGTATATCAGTGATAACTTAATACAAAAAAAGTATTTGTATTAAAAAAAAGCACAAAAATGACTTGAAATTATTCCCTATTGGAAATTTTAAAAAATATATGAAAGAATGAATAATGGCTTAAAGCAAATTAAAAAAATATTTTTTCAGCCAAAAAAGAAATATGTATGTGAAGCAGAAAAAAAACTTAGTTGTACAAATTTACAAATCATGTAAAAATGTAAGATGCTTAAAGCTTATTCATGGTTTTATTCATTAGCAGGTGCTTTGCAGAAAATATTTGAGTCTACTATGTGTCAGTAATGTCCGTGGTGAACTGCATTTGCTCTGTGGATTTAACCCTCATCAATTCTGAGAGTTTTTGTCAGAAATAGAAACTGAATCTTCTCTCTTGCCCCAACACACATTAAGATGATGGCTCAGAGGAGGTAAAATTTTATTGTGATATTTTGAATCTTAGAGCCAAAACTGAAATTTTTCTTAATGAGAAGAATCACATATAATGGAACTATATTATGGAACTATAATGGAACACTGAATGGCTTTGGAAATTAGCTTTTGAGGCCAACTTCATGACGTTTCTTAGTTCAACCTAAAACTGCAGGGCAAATCATCAATTATATACATATCTTCCTTGGTAAAGTCATTTTGATGACAACTATATTTGAATCTTAAGTCAAACATTTCCCATGCTCTCAAATGTTAAAAAAAAAGCAAGATTTCCACTCCTACACACATTTGCAGTGGATATAGTTCCCAAGCTCAAATTAGTTTCAGCAACATTTTTTGGTCCTCCATGCAAGTATAAGGATTTCCGTATTTAAAAATTCACTTGTGCAATGAAGAGCTTTCACCTTACCTTCAATTGGAAGTGATTAATATAATGACAAGCTAAAAAAAAGCAAGTATTAGGAGAAGAAACTAATAGAGTTCTATAAATGTTTTCCAAATGACGAACACCTTTAGCTAAAATAATATGCTTGTGGATTGGTATCGGTATTTGTCAGTACCTATATGTGTGAAAAGACATTTTCAAAGATACATAGGAAAAAATCTCAAATGGGTCAGCATTATCCAGATGAACATTTGTAATTTTTTTTTTAATATGGACACTTCACAAATTTGCATGTCATCCTTGTGCAGGGGCCACGCTAATCTTCTGTGTATCCTTCCAATTTTAGTGTATGTGCCGCCTAGGGGAGCACCATTTATAACTGGTTTTGCTGATGAGGAGCAGTTTCCGTCTCAGTGAAGCAAAGTGTTATCTCCCCCCAAATAATTCTTTTTCTCATTAGACTTGTATTTAAAAAACTGTGCTCATTATTGTTTTGAATTTTATTTAAAAATTTGTGAATTTATTTTCTTTCTTGTATGTAGGTACCTATATAACATAAGTTTGATTTTGCTTCTTGTACGACAAAGACTCAAATATTTATTATTTTGCCCTTTACAGGAAGATTTCGTTGACCCCTTCTCGAGAGGAACATTCTTGGAATATGGGATTGAATAGTAACCTTTTAAGTACATGGCAGATGTATATAGAATATCTATAGCCCATGTGGACTCAATTACAGCCTAAGGCCTGAGATTTCTCCACATATATTAAATTTTTATCGATACATCCTTTGTCCCAGGGATTTCTGAACATGGTCAGTAACATCACCACCAACATGATTAAATTTGTTGGTAAGTGAATAATTTGTAAATGTAAAATTGTAAAACCTAGCTTTTCCAAATATTTAAATGATTGCAAATTGACTAAATTCCTTGAGGCAGTTTAAATTGCAACTTCAAGCCTGTATGCCTGTTTCTTTTCCCCCCTTTAAATGGCAGATAAAATTTACATAAACGTAATGATTTCAAAAATATTCCTAGAGTTAAACCTAAAACATCAACACCATGACTTTAATACATTATTTCTATATAAGATCCTATATTTTCCAAGGGTTACTGTTATACTTCTTTTGATAGCTTGCTAAGGTTTCAATATTTTGGGTATTACCTATCATTTATTAATTTTACATGGTGGTGTAGGAACTATCAGTAGTTAATTATTGGTTGAGATTTTGGATTTGTTTTTATCAGCATTAGATGGAGCACCCCCTTTTTACAGTTAGATCATAAGTTTTACCTGTTAAACCATGAGATCTTGAATACTTGTCTTTATTAAATATTGTAACTTTTGAAGCTTGACCTTTATCCTAGAAATAACTCAGTCTTTAAATTTGCCATGGCCAGCAGTGCTTGAGCCATTGCCCCATTTTTATATTTTATTCACCTGGTGTGTTGACATTTTTAAAACATGTATTCCTTAAAGAATTTTATAATAATTAGTATGACCCTCTAGAAGTTTTTTCTCCTAGGAAATGAGGATTGGCTCTGTAATTTTCTCTTTAGAAATTTCGCTTATCCATCTTTTGGAATACACAGTTGGACCCTTCTTTTACTTCTTTTAGGCGTGTGTAACCACAGGTGCTGACTAACTTTTGAGCTTATAACTTATAACTGGAACTGTCATTCCAGGTTTGTAAGTGATCATTGGTGCTTCTCCTGGTTTGGTGCAGTTTCTGCTTTCCCCAGGATTACTCAGCTCACTCAGTGTTCCCGTCCCTGTGTTTACTGTGGTGTCTACATAGAAATGAGTATATATCTATAATGTAGAAACAGATATATCAATAGAATCCTGAATATTAAGTCTACTTATTAAAATATGGAATATATTCTATTCTATTCATCCTTTTATATTACAACTACCTTTATCAATCCTTTATATTTCCTTTTATCCTTTGAGTATCATTCCTTATATCCTGTGAGAATCTAATGGCACTTACCTAGTTAGAACCTTTTATGGGTTCAGTATATTCCAGTTAACCAAGCTAAAACTATTATTTGAAGCTCAAAATTATCACTGTCTGGCTTGTAGGGGCCCTTGAGAGCCTCCTTTGTGCTGACACTCTTGAAAGTTTTGCTTTCTGGAGCCAACAGTATGTACAGATCCTGAATTTTTCCTGCCATGAGACAGTCATAACTTTCTACCACAGAACAAGGAATTCTTGTTCCTCATAGCAAAGAATTGTATTAGAAACCAGTCTGGATACTAGATAAGCATATAAGAGTGGATGGACTTAGCTGATGTTGTTCATATGATCACTTAGGAACTTTTCTGGAGTTACCGTTCTCTGCTAATATGCTATTATATTGGCACTATAAATTACATTTGAAGCACTTATTTTGAGGAACAAATAGCTAGAATATTGAATATATGTTCAGTATAGAATGTTGAAATTATATGTCAGTGGAATCTTGAAAAAATAGAAATGTTGGGAAGCTAGCAGTTTTACAGTATTTCTCAAAACAATTATATCCCTAATTCAGTTGGGTAGAGCTAGATATATAAAATCATGTATAAAACTGAGCCTTAATTTTATACAGATGAGGAAACTGACAGGCAGTTTAAGGAACTAGTCCAAGGTCAGACTGCCATGTAGAGCTGAATGAATAGAGTATTTTAATTTTCTTAACTTCACAAGTTTGGAGTTCCTTCCCATCATTCTCTGACACTTATTTTAGAAGGCCATACCCATGTAACACCTGTAGTATTAGAGTTCTTCCTGAGAACATTCTGGAATGGATAATGATGGGGTATGGTAGCAGGGAATATATATTGACTTTTCCCACAAAGGTCTGGGATTTAAATATATGGCATTGATTTTGAGATGATAAGATACTGAAAATAATTGTTCAAGTTTTATCTGTGGGGCCAATAAGGTGATTTCCTCATCTTGATATTAGGATACTATAAAACATAATGTTTTTCCTGCTTAATTTTCCTTGTGTATTTGTAGCTGGAATGAATCATTACATTGAAGTCTTTGAGTCAATGGTGTGTCTTTTATGCTATTGGTAACTCTACACAGTGTCTGGCATATAGTACATTCTCATGCATCTCTGATACCCAGTGGTCATCCAAAAGTTGACCAACAGATAAAAAACATTTGTATAATGAGTGCGCTGATCAACCTTGTTACTGGCAGACTTTTTGAAGCAAGTAATCAGAAAGAATTGCCCAACCTTGTCTTATGAGCCTTTTTCACCTGAGTGACTACAGAAGACAAATACTGTAGCAACAGGGAAAGCTGGGGAAATGTTCTTTTTGGAACACAGAGGCACTGTCTTTTCTCCCCTACCAGCATGACATAAGGAAAGGATCTAGTTGGCTCGGTTTTTCTTTTTTTATAAATTTTTCTTTTTTAATTGAAGTATCTTTGATATGCAATCTTATATTGGTTTCAAATATACAACACAGTGGATTACCCATATTATTAAATTCTCACCCCCGCTAGTGCAGTTACTGTCAACCTAGAAAGATGTTACAGAATCATTGACTGTATTCTCCATGCTGTGGTACTATCCCTGTGACCAGCTTATGTTATGACTGAGAATTTTTGTTCACCTTTATTCCCCTTGCCCTCCCCATCCACCCACCCCAACCTCTCCCACCTAGTAACCACTAGTCACTTCTCAGTGTCTATGAGTCTGCTGCTATTTTATTCATTCTATTTTGCTTTGTTTTTAGATTCCAAAATAAGTGAAATCATACGGTATTTGTCTTTTTCCACCTGGCTTATCTCACTGAACATAAAACCCTCTAACTCTACCCATGTAGTTGCAAATGGCAGGATTTCTGTTTTTCTTATGGCTGAATAATATTCCATTGTGTATATGTACCACATCTTCTTTATCCATTCATCTATTGATGGACACTTAGGTTGCTTCCATATCTTGGCTATTGTAAATAATGCAGTGATAAACATAGGAATGCCTGTCTTTTCAAATTAGGGATTTCTAGGGTAAGTTCCTAGAATTGGAATTACTGGATCAAAATGGTATTTCTATTTTTAGTGTTTTGAGGATCCTCCATACTGCTTTCCACAGTGGTTGTACCAATTTACATTCCTAGGTATTTTATTCTTTTTAATCCAATTATAAATGAAATTGTTTTACTGATATCTCTTTCTGTTACAGATTTCTGTGTATTAGTTTTGTATCCTGCAACTTTGCTGAATCCAGTTATTAGTTCTAATAGTTTTTTGGTGGAGTCTTTAGGGTTTTCAATGTATAATATCATGTAATCTGCCAATAGTGACAGTTAAACTTATTCTTTATGAATTTGGATGGCTTTTATCTCTTTGTCTTGTCTGGCTCAGTTTTTTGTAAGGAAAACAGTATTCTTTTGTGATTGGATGTATTCCAGGAGAATAAACTCAGATCATTAATGAAAAGTTATATCTTTATATATTGTTTATCCCTTTGATAAATGTTTCAGTCAGCAGCTCTTAACACTTGCCAACCTATTATTAGTATGCTCCTAGTCCTTCTGATAGAGATAAATATTTCAAAGAACAAATTGGAGATGGTATATTTACACAATGGAATATTATTCGGCCATAATAAAGAAAAATCCTGCCATTTGTGACAACATGAATGGACCTAGAAGGTATTATGCTAAATGAGATAAACCAGGTAGAGATAGATGGTTTTACTGTATTTGTGGAATATACATGATTTTACTTATTTGTGGAATATAGAAACAAAACAAAAAACAAAATGAACAAAACATCAGTAGACTCATAGACACTGAGAAGTGACTGGTGGTTACCGTGCGGGAGGGGTCGGAGTGGGTGGTTGTGGAGGGTGAGGGGGATAAAGGGGCACAAAACTCTCAATCATAATATAAGTTGGCCACAGGATGTAAGGCAGCATGGAGAATATAGCCAGTGGTTCTGTAATATTTTCCTGTGTGGACAGATAATAACTGCACTAGTTTGGGTGAGGATTTAATAATGTGGGTAACTGTTGAACCACTGTGTTGTATACTTGAAACCAATAAAAGATTGTATATCAACTATACTTCAATAAAAAGAGAATAAATTTGGCAGCATACCTAAGTGGAAATAAGGTCTAGAGAGAGTATAAATATATTTCGTTTTCTCCTTCCTTCTCTTTTTATTTTGAGGTAATTTTACACTGTAGACCTTAGAGTTGCAAAAATATTTCCCTGAATGCCTTTTTTCAAGCTTCTCCTTATATTAATATCTACATAACTGTAGAACAACTATAAGAATCTGGCCCAATACTATTAACCAAAGTACAGATCTTATTCAGCTTTCACTAGCTTTTCCTATAATGTCATTTTTCTGTGTCA